AACTCTGGATACCCTCTTGCCTCATAAATTAGCTTATAAAGTGGGAGGTTCTGATTTATTAAAGTTTTACCAAACCTAGGACCCTGCATTCACTATATCTGGCCTCCCACAGTACACACAACATAGAAATGCAATTATTTTAGTAAATATAAACTACTAAATACCTTTTCTCATCAGCAGTATATAGCAGTCTCATGACTTCTATCAGTGTCCAGCTGGGCAATGGTTAATCTTGTAGGAGTTTTTATTCTCCTCTGGCTGTCCTATGAAACTGTGTAACCCCTGACCATCTGTCTGGACAGTGCTAATTGACTCTGTGCTGATCACATGGACCCCCCCAAAAAAAAAAACTCCAGCAATACACACCAAACTGTAGCATGTGTAGCTTGCCCCCAAGGCTCTGTTCTATCAGGAGATGAATTGGGCACTCTGGGCGAAGAGGGGGATCAGAGAAGACAGGATCAAACATCCTTTTTACACAATGCAGAGGATTAACCCCTTAAGTTTCACAGTGAGTTTAACAAGCATGCTTTACTGTATATACAGACTGATTTTACTGTAGTGGGTTTAGTAACACTTTAATGCACTCCCAAACCATACACATAAAGTCCCCTTGTTCTGACTCACATTAATGCAGTGTTTCTCAACTCCAGTACTCATGGACCCCCAACAGGTCATGTTTTCAGGATTTCCCTCAGATGAAACAGCTGTGGTAATTACTAAGGCAGTGAAACTGATCAAATCACCTGTGCAAAATAATGGAAATCCTGAAAACATGACCTGTTGGGGGTCCATGAGGACTGGAGTTGAGAAACACTGCATTAATGGCATGTGGGAGTGGTGCATTTGTGCATAAAAAATAAATGCTTAGATGTGTAAAATAAACTCCATCTAAGTATGTCAATTGTATGAGTTTAAACATTGACTATTTTTAATCCTTATGCTGCTAGCATTAGAAAATAGATAGGAAGATGTATTATATTTACTTCTTTTAAACTTTTTTTTACCTTTCTACAGTTGCTTCCTGGTTTTTGGCCTAGGTGAAATATTGTCATACATTCCAGGACGTTTCATGATATTTTTTTTCTGTCACCTGGCAGAGTTAAGGCTTTCTCAGGCAAGCACACCCACCCATGCCTGAGCTAAGGCCAGATGGATTCCAGTAAATAAATGCTACATAAATCATCTGCTGTTACTCAACATACGTGTGGCTAAAAATGCTAGGGAAGGGGGGGGGGGGGCAATTTTTTAAAGTGATCTCCCAACAAAATAAAGCATGGAGATAGGAATGGAGGGCTGAATTTGCTCTGAATGTTAAAAATAAATTAAATAGCGTAGTCAGCTTGTGGTGCTTACATACAGTTTAGTTCAACTTTAACTCATTGCACTTTAGAAAGATTTGGTGCTTTCATATATTCAATTTCACTCTTACACATACCAGTGAACAAAAAAAAAAATTGTCACAGGTTTTACAACTCTTGAGTGTCTCTATTTCTTTGTTAGTGCCTATTATAAAAAAAACAAAACAAATTCCCATCACTTCCTGTCTGTGACCATTATTATTGAGCAAGGGAGTGAAGGACATTTTCCCCAACATACAGCAGTAAATGCCTGACAGAGTTTCTAATCCCCTCCCACCATTTACAAAAACATTTTGCTCACTGTTTTTACGATGTCCATAGGAAAATTGTATTTCTTCTAGAAACCAGCTCAATCTTTTTTCCTAATCTGCCATTTAACCATTTCAATATCGGGCAATTTTTACACCTCCCTGCCCAGGCCATTTTTCAGGTTTCAGCGCTCTCACACTTTGAATGACAATTGTGCGGTCATACAACATTGTACCCAAACTAAAATTTTATCATTTTCTTCACACAGAGCTTTCTTTTGGTGGTATTTAATCACCGCTGGGGTTTTTATTTTTTGCTAAATTAACAAAAAAAGACCAAAAGTTTGAAAAAAAAAAAAACGTTTTTCTTTGTTTCTGTTATAAAAGTTTACAAATAAATAATTGATCTTCATAATTTAGGCCGAGATGTATTCTGCTACATGTCTTTGGTGAAAATAACCCAAATTAGGATGTATTATTTAGTTTGTAGGAAAGTTATAGAGACCACAAACTATGGTATAGATCTGAAAATTGATCAATCCTGAAGTACTGACAGCCAATCTAATTTCTTGAGGTCCAAGAATGTCAGAATAGTACAGATATCCCCAAATGACCCCTTTTTGCAAAGTAGACAGTCCGACGTACTTCATAAGAGGAATGGCGAGTTTTTTGAAGTTGTATTTTTTTTTTGTCATAATTTTTCGGAAAATGAAAAAATTCAAAAAATTATTTTCACAATTTTTTTTACATACTGTCACCAGTGCAGTACAGCGTCATCATATAACTGGCATGGCGGTGAACAGGGACACTGACTGGTGACAGTATGAAAAAAAAATATATTTTTTTTTAAATTTTTTTTATTATTTTAAATTTTTTATTACATTTTTTTTTATTTTTTTTAAGATTTTTTTTCATATTTTACTATGACCAAAGTAGTACAATGTTACCATAGTAATATTGTTACCATAGTAACATTGTACTACTTTCGGGAAGTGCTCAGTATTTTTTTTTTTTTTTTACACAATTTACCTGAATGAAATCGATTCATTCAGGTTTTTTTTTTTTTTTTTTTTTGTTGTGCTTAGCTGTGAACTGCACATGTGCGGGAGCATGCCAAATGGTGTGCACCCGGAATGCCGAAGCGTTTTTGCGGCCGCCAAACGGCCATTGGCCGGGCGGCTAATGGTTAAAGGATTTAAATTGCTTTAACACATTTTATATATCAAAAGTCCTTATTTCCAGTAAGTGACATTCAGGCTTTAAAAATTCATCAGGATGGATAAATTCAGTAAACTGGCATTTTATTTACTCAGCAAACTAGTTGTAATTCGTTTGAATAATTACATTACCAATTATCTACCCAGCCATCCTCGAAAGACCTTCATAATAAATGCTTACCAATTAGCAATTTTCCCTTCAGCTTGCAATAACTGTATACTAAAGATGTCCTGTTTAAGCAGAATTAGTAAATTATTATAATTTAAATGACTTTCCTGTCTTTGTAATTTGCACATATTTTAAATATTAGTTTACATGACTGCACATTTCTTTGAGCAAAGAGAAAAGCAATTTAGAAAATGGCAGAAGACTGACCTGGATGAGTGAAGGAAGCTGGTAGATTGGTATATAGCAGCAACCTCTGGTGACAGCAGTATTTATTTATGCATTTTACAAACTCTAAAGGTTACTATAATGCAAGATTGTCCTTTCAACCAACTAGGGAAGACTTAAAAAGGTTATTACCTGCAAAAATGATAAGAACATAGTTTGCCAATACATTAACATCGTTACGGCGATATCTGCCTCATTCACCTTGTGTGAACTGAGGGCTTACCGGAGGGGTCATTGCAATAGTAGAGTGCAGTACTATTTTAGCATTTTGCAGAAAGTTTGAAGTTTAAGTTTAACTTAAAGTCTGAGTTTAGGAGTTTTTTTTTTTTAATCTGCAGAAATTGTACAAGTGCTTACATTTGATGAGAAGTGTCCATTGTGCTGGTGCAGACTGTCCTAATTGTAATCTGAAGTCCTCTATTCCTCCAGTGTTGTGGGGGTTAATACAAGCTCTGGAACTGTCAGAGGCACTGGTCAAAAGTGCTGATTTCACCTCTCCTACATTCATAGAAGCTGTACTATAGCTTTCATGAATGAATAGGGATCTACGAATGGAGGAGGGGGACCTTTCATTCATCTACACATCCTGCTTTCAAAAAGCTCTTTTCTATCATGGAAGCTATAGTACAGCAGGGAAAGAAGGGGGTGCAAAGGGTGGGCACAATCAGCACTCTTGATGAGTGCCTGTGACAGGTCCAAAAGCACTCATTAAGTATATCCCCCATACCCCTTGAAAGATTACACCTACGAGGGTGAGGGATGGAGAATTTTGATTTCAACTAGGAAAACCAGCACTAGCACAAAGGTACACTGAAATGTGAGCAGGGGCGGACTGACCATTTGGAAACTCGGGCACTGTCCGAGGGCCCAGGGTCAGTAGGGGGCCCCATGAGATGCCCCTGGTACCTTTTTCATATAGGCTTTTTTGAGTTTGGGCAAAGACACAGGGGCTTCATGATCCCCTATTGCCCGGGGGCCCCATGAGTTGTCAGTCTGCCCCTGAATGTGAGTACTGTCCCTTGTGCAGATTTTCTTTTTTAATTTTACCTAAACTTTCAGTATAGCTTAGATCCCTTCTTTAGGCTCTATAGACTTCTGAAAAAGGGTTCAGAACATATACCACTGTAGTGCTAAAAGGCTATTGCAAGAGATAAGAGATAAGTGAAAAGAGATCTTAGAGAAGAGTTTAGAGGTGTTATTGGGGCAATTAACTCAGAGATAAGGATGTCAGGCATAATTCTCACCTCAAATGACAGTCTTTTTTAAATTTCCATAGAAACAAATAAGCTATTGTCACCTCAAACATTGTCTTCCCATTAATTGAGTGGTATGCCAATAAACCTAGTTCTCGGTTAAGTGTGCATGTGGCAAAAGGTGGCATTTAGCATATATGGTCTTAGAGGCTAAGTGCACTTTTAAGCATAACAAATAGGAAATGCTCAGGAAAAAACGTACATTTATTATTTCTTCCTATGGAGCCTGCAAAGCATTTCACCCGCAATCAGTGGTTCACAAGTACAATGTCCAGCTACTGCACACTCCCCTTTCCTTGTACATGCTGGAGCTGGAGGAAGAGTGAATGGACTACGAGGGTGCTGATTAGCACACTAGTGGGGTCCATTCAGAACTAAAAGCCTGTTTGCCACAGTGGACTTGTTGTTCATTCATTCACAGATTGAGTGAATGAATAACATGGATGTGTGGGTGCAGCCCCAAACAGCCACACTGATTTTAAATGTGAAAGCAGATGTGGGGGAGAGGAACCCCTGCCCAATGTCACAGGGTAGGGGTGAGGGTGGAGATCGGGGCAAGTAACATGTTCCAAAGATTTATAGATTAATATTGTAGGCTGTCGATATGAACAAATTGCACCTACATCCCAATTTAGTAGATAAATATGTGGAGCAGTTGAGGCATTTTAAGGTTCCTTCACATCGTGAAAAGTTTTTGTAGTTATGGAAAATTTCTTTAGAAATGTCTTTGAAATCAAAATAACATTTATTTAGTTACAAAATATAAAATCTTCTTCTTAAAAAAGCAAATGTGCTTAAATGTAATTGACAAACAATTTGTTACAGCTGTTCATTGATTTTCAGTAATCCCAACATGTTTCACCCATTAGGGCTTCTTCAGGGGAAATGATAGCTGATTATTCCAGAGCTACATACAAAAATATACAGAATAATTACAAAGGCATATATGGTCAGAACAATTAGTAAATAATATATAGGATCTTATCTGCAGCCCCAAAGTGTCTCAAATATCAAATTGTAAAGATGATTGTACAACTGATGGCAAAGAATTGGTGTCCAAAACGTGATCACAGGGGATACAGAAGGACCAAGCTGTAGAAAGTTAGAATAGTTACAAATCCCTAACTTGCAGCAAGAGACCAAATACTTCTCACGAAAATGTAACCAATAGCCTCCCGGCCAATAGCCGTTTGGCGGCCGGCAAACTGCTGTAGATTTCCGGGTGGACGCCATATGGCGTCCTCCCGGGCATGCGCAGTTTTCGCGCTTGCAGAGCCACACAGCGGCGTGATCTGTCACCGGCCATGTACCTCGGACACGGTCGATGACAGATCTAAGTACCGGCCCCCTTTGCCGCTACCATGTGACCTGCTGTGACCAATCACTATGGTAACATTGTACTACTTTGGACATAGTGAAATATGAAAAAAAAATCTTAAAAAAAAGAAAAAAAATGTAATAAAAAATTAAAAAATAATTATAAAATAAAAAAAATATATATATATTTTTTTTTCATACTGTCACCAGTCAGTGTCCCTGATCACCGCCATGCCAGTTATATGATGACGCTGTACTGCACTGGTGACAGTATGTAAAAAAAAATAGTGAAAATAATTTTTAAAATTTTTTAATTTTCCGAAAAATTATGATAAAAAAATACAACTTCAAAAAACGCGCCATGCCTCTTATGAAGTACGTCGGACTGTCTACTTTGCAAAAAGGGGTCATTTGGGGGATATATGTACTGAGATGACCAGAGACTGCGGACATAGTACAGGAGGTGACCAGAGACTGCGGACATAGTACAGGAGATGACCAGAGACTGCAGACATAGTACAGGAGATGACCAGAGACTGCGGACATAGTACAGGAGATGGTCAGACTGCGGACAAAGTACAGGAGATGATCAGAGACTGCGGACATAGTACAGAAGATGACCAGAGACTGCGGACAGTACAGGGATGACCAGAAACTGCGGACAGTACAGGAGATGACTAGAGACTGCGGACAGTACAGGAGATGACTGCTGACCTTTGGGGAGGTACCCGCTCTTATTTCCGCGGAGTTGTTCTTTGGTTAGTGTCCGCTCTGCAGTGGGACCTTATCTGTTCCTCTATCCAGCGCCGCGCTGTCTTCCCGGCTTCTGTAGTGTGGGCGCTCGGCTTGACAGCCGGGTGCCCAGTACGCATGCATGAGAAGCGCTGCGCTTTGTGATTGGTCCAGCGGCTTCTGGGACCTGTCATGTGTCCCAGGTGCCGCCTTACCATTCACAAAGCGCACCGCTTCTCGTGCATGCGCACTTGGCACCCGGCTGTCAAGTCGAGCCGCCCACACTACAGAAGCCGGGAAGACAGAGCGGCGCTGGATAGAGGAACAGGTAAGGTCCCGCTGCAGAGCTGAGCAGCCAGCCCTGTATTCTGACATGGCGGCGGTGGAAATACCGGACCGGCCACTCCATATTCGCTCCATAAGACGCACTGACATTTTCCCCCTTTTTTTGGGGGGAAAAAAGTGCGTCTTATAGAGAGAAAGATACAGTATTTATTTGCAAACTTTTATACCAGAAACAAAGAGATACATGTTTCTTTTCAAAATTTTCAGTCTTTTTTTGTTAATTTAGCAAAAAATAAAAACCCCGGCGGTGATTAAATACCACCAAAAGAAAGCTCTAGTTGTGTGAAGAAAATGACAAAATTTTAGTTTGGGTACAATGTTGTATGACCGCGCAATTGTCATTCAAAGTGTTAGAGCGCTGAAACCTGAAAAATGGCCTGAGAGGGAAGGGGGTAAAAGTGCCCGGTATGGAAATGGTTAATGACTAACGTACAAGGTTTATATTAGAACCACAGAGGGCTCCCAAAAGAATGAACATATGATGATACTGGCTTCAGTGGATTGACCTCTGCATGAAACAGTAATTTATAATTTCATATTTATATAATGAATCAGTTAGATCATAAATTAATATTTACACGCTTGTATGTACCCTCATACATATATAGGGACACATGAGGTGATGGTAAATATTGAAAGTGCCTTTTAGGAAATAGGTCAAAGTATTAATATTACAATTTCAATAGGCAAATAGGCCAAATGCTCCTACACTAGTCCAACCAAGGCATGTAATCAAATAACTATTCACATTTGAATCTGTCAACAAACTAGTGTTAAGTTCTCACCACAAAAGCTGGAGATATCCAATACACTGGGCAAACCCACATGGCATAACGTGTTCCAAAGGTGAACTTAGCCTTTAAAATGACCCTGTACTGACATTAAACAATGCAAACTGAAATTAGTAAGTTAGCGAAAGCACCCAGAGGTGTGTTTGTACATATCCTATATTAACTTCTAGGGTGCCCCAGGAGACATGAAATCCTCTGTAATCAACACTACTATGCAAATATTACGGTTTGGCCTGGGCCACCTACAGCTCTCTATTCATTATTATGTGAAAAACTTACAGCACAATATGCCTATCCAAATCAATATATACAAATATTGCAGCTAACATGTAAAGTGTTCCCACATACAGAAATATATATACAAAAAATGCAGCGCAATACTAAATAATCAAATAATAAATGTACATAAATCTTGCTCTGTGACAATTATTTAAAAACCGTATGAGTGCTTAATCATATCACCTTATAATGAACATATTAACATATTCCATCCCATAATAATGTCCATATTAACCATGCGTTTTCTGAAACATATTCACTGTGCGTTTATATATTAACAATGTACCAATATAAATGAATACTTCTTAATCAACCGTCCCTTTAAGATTCAGTGCTCCAGGTGATAATGTGCAATCTATATATACATCCAGTGATTTCTTGTGACCCCCAGTGTTATATTCACCTCCGACACACTTATGCGCTCATTGCTGTTGGGGGAGGCGGCTGAATTGTATGTGAGTGTGAGTAGGAAGGCAGAGGTGAGCAGAAGTGAAGTTTGAAAAGTGAAGGAAGAAGGGGTCAAGGAGTACAAGAGGTTAGCAGTAATGGACAAGGGATGTAGATGTGAGAAATGGGAGGAGAAGGGGTGCAGAGTTTAGCAGTACTGGAAAAGGGATGAGACATTTTGGTAGAGTTGTGCAGAGGTCAGCAGTAGTGGAAAAGGTGTGCATATATGAGTGGTGAATGGTGCCTTCAGGAGCATTTCTTTTTTATAGAGAATTTAGCTTTCACATTATGGGCAGGGCAGAGGAGAAGGGTGGATGAGGGGGTCAGAGGCAAAAGTGGTGCAGAAGAGGTGCAGGATGAGTGGTGGATGGTGATTTTAGGAGAGATTTTAGGAGAGGTTGCTTTTGAAGGGAGAATTTTGCTGAGGTCGAGGGTTTCATCTGTGTGCCAAGCATTTCTGACTCAGAATTATGTAACATACTGGGGGACATTTATTAAAACTGGAGTTGGCGAAATCTGGTGCAGCTCTGCATAGAAACCAATCAGCTTAGTAGCTGATTGGCCACCATGCACAGCTGCACCAAATTCTGAGTGCTCCAGCTTTAGTAAATCTCCCCCACTGTTTACAGTGCATTCTCCTGACTGCTTTACTCTGTACAATGTGCTTTGCATTTCCAGGCATTTCCAAGCGCACCCCCCTACCCGCGCCGCTATTGGCAGCTAGAGATGTCAATCACCGGGTCCCGGCCAGGACTCGGCGATCATCAGGGAAAGCTGACAGGGGAGAGATCTGTGTGTAAACAACACATGTCTCTCTGCTATCGGCATGGACATGCTGTTTTTGTATCTCTCTGCACAGCAGAGAAATACAAAACAGCATGTCTCTCTAGTAAAACACACAGCACACAGTTAACCCTTTGATTGCCCCAGATGTTGACCACTTCCTGCCCAGTATCATTCGTACTGTGTTAGTGTACGAAGTTAGTTTTTTTTTAGCACTGATCACTGTATCAGTGTCAAAATGCCCTCCACAGTCCTGCAGTCCCACTATAAGTTGCTGATCGCTGCCATTACAAGTATAAAAAAAAAAATTCCAGTATATATATCGCCATTTCTAGACGTTATAACTTTCATGTAAACCAATTAATTTACACATATTGGGATTTTTTTTTAGCAAAGACATGTACCAGAATACATTTTGGCCTAAATTTATGATAAAATTGGATTTTTAAATTTTTTTTATTGGCTATGTTTTATAGCAAAAAGTAAAAAATAAGGTTTTTTTTTTTTATTTTGATTTTTTTGTTTAGAGTGCAAAAAAAAATAAAAACCGCAGAGGTGATCAAATGCCACCAAAAGAAAGCTCTATATGTGGGGAAAAAAAGGACATAAATTTCATCTATGTACAGCATTGCATGACTGCGCAATTGTCAGTTAAAGTAACGCAGAGCCGTATCGCAAAAAATGGCCTGGTCAGAAAGGGGGTTAAATCCTCTTGAGGGCAAGTGTTTAAAACATGCATTACAGATACACATATGGTATATTTTCAGATTGGTTGCGTTTTCCTTAGACCTTGTTAATAGGCCATGTTAGCATTGCTTCTGCACATGCTGATATCAGTGTCCATAGCTCTATG